ACGCCTGATTGGTCGTTACTGAGATTCAGAGACAGGAAGCACAGCGGTGCTATCGACTGTTGTGCCTGCACCCCTCTGCGTGTCTGTGTGTCACATGCAAACACACACACCTGCTAGAGTAATTGCGGCGATAAACATAGCGACAATCACTCGGCCCACTGTTTTGTTTCCTCAGAGATGTAGATTTTTTTTTTACAGTTAACATTGAATAGAAGTAGAATGAGTTTTTAAAACATTACATGAAATATATAACATGTTTTAAACTCACCCTTAACTATTGTATTTGTAGGATGGGTAGAATTTAAGTCTAAAAGCAGGATGGATGGAGGATGTTCAGACGCAGTCGGCTTGTCTGTATGGCTTTTACTCTGGATGATTAAAAGGGGAACTCTCTCCGCAGGAGTGAACTGGACCGGGGCCAGTTGAGTGACATGAGCCAGGGCTAATCATATTTCACGCTTGTCACGCGGTTAAGTGGTATTATTGGCTGTCATTATTCGCATTGAATGAGAAAGGAGAGCTTCAGGAAGCTGCCACCTGCTTTTAGGGATTCATATTGTGTTAAAGAGGTTATCAAACTCCCTTCCATTGGCCTTGCTATAAAGCACAAGGGTCTTTGTGCCTGTTTGTCTGAGCTGGTCTGAATATTACACTATGATAAAGCTGAAAATTAGTTTGGGAAATTGTCATTATGTTTTAGAGCTAGAAATTACATGCTGCACCTTTAAGAATAATCAAACTGTATGTTGTTGGAAAAGTACGGTGTTGTCTGTTGTAAAACTATTTTTTCACTGTGTGTTGTGTATGTTTTAGATGATTCATCTTCTGAAAGTGGGAGTGGCAATGGGATTCACACACTGACTCCTCCCTCGGTAGGTGTGGCCGGAGTGAGTGACAGTACGGGGACGGGACCCGGATCAGGCTCGTACGCTGAGGTTAACGGCAACGGAAACGGTACCGCAGCACCACTCGACTTCAGCACGACTTCCTCGTCCTCATCCTCAGAGGACCAGCAACCAGTCAACCTCAGCGACAGACTGAGTCAGGCCCTGCCTAGTGCTGCCGCCATGCTGGCGACCTTTAACCCTGAGCACGCAGAGGAGCTGCGCAGAAAATACCCCAAATCCTCAGAGCTACGCCTTGACCGAGATATCAGGGACTATAATAACAAGGTATATATATAATCATTTAGGACCATAAAAATGCTAAATGCTACTTACAATTGTCAGAATACCAAAATTTCAGTAGTCAATGCCAGTAGCAATAAAATTTCACTGGTATCGTTACTTTTTTTTATTTTTTATTTAGTTTAGTATCAAATTGGAAATGAAGTACCTGACTTTATAAGATATTTATTTGCTAATCTTGCTACTGGTAATGCCTGTAGATTTTTCCTTCACCCTTGTACACAACAGATTCATTTGTTTTGAGTGTACAATGCGAATTGAACCCACAGATGAAAAGGCTCTCAATCAAACCTCATTCATTCAGTTAGCTAGCGTGGCACATGAGCGTTTTTCATTCAGACAGATGCAGAGAGGTTTGAACAATATGCCGAGCAAGGCTCCAGTCTGAATAGAAACTTTCATTTCATTCCTCTTTTCCATGGTCAGCCTCTGTTGCTTCCCGTCTCCTTTTTAATTGTATTGTCTTTGTGAAAAGAAGAGCGCAACACTATCTTTCAAATGAACAGATTCACGATCTCAAATGCAGCCCAAGACTCTCGGTACCGAGAATGTCTGAATAACACTGTTAGACCTTGAAGCCGTGGTTTTCATCAGCCGAAGCGCCGTCGGTGGCCATGAATGGCCTAATTGATAGACTTCATCTTTTTGATACATCTTTCAGTCCGTGTCCTCCTTTGAAAGTCTTTTCTGATCGTTAATACGCTCTTGCAGACAGAAGGCTTACCTTGGTTTCTTTGTGTGTTTTTGCAGTCTCCTCAATACACTTCAGGCAGCTATGATTCAATAAAGATGGAGATATGCCCTGAAGATCTGACTGTTGGTCGGCCTCCGGCGGCTGACGATGATGACGATGACCATGATGACCACGACGATAGCGATAAGATCAATGATGTAGAAGGAGTGGATCCAGAGAGGTTGAAGGCTTTTAACGTGAGTATAAGGACATTCAACTCATGATTATCTGCTTCATAAAAAGAGCTGTAATCCATGTGGTCTGGCATGGCTTTTTATTTGTAAGTCAAATTAGAATTCCTCAATACGTGTTGTATGAGTGGATTTCACTCACACCTCATACTTAAGTGAAGTAATTCATTTCTCTCTCTTTTTCTAGATGTTTGTGCGTCTCTTTGTGGATGAGAACCTGGACCGTATGGTGCCAATCTCTAAACAGCCTAAAGAGAAGATCCAGGCCATTATCGAGTCCTGCAGCCGTCAGTTCCCAGAGTTCCAGGAACGCGCTCGCAAACGCATTCGTACCTACCTCAAATCCTGTCGCCGTATGAAGAAGAACGGCATGGAGGTACACGCTGACACATTGAGCCCATTCTGCTTTTTGTAATGGTTAGATGACTTATATTGCCCCCTTGTGGTCAACACAGTACAGATACTGAGAAATACAGTTTTGTTTAGTGATGAAGGCAAAAATTCTAAATTAATATTGATGAAGTTGCAATTTTAAATTAAATTGACCGCGCTTCAAAATTAAAATGGCTGTAACTTTCATTGTAAAGTGTAAAGCTGAAATTCAGAGAAGGGAATTTAATTTGTCCAAAACAAGTTTTTCTGCTTGTCTGTATGGCTTTTACTCTGGATGATTAAAAGGGGAACTCTCTCCGCAGGAGTGAACTGGACCGGGGCCAGTTGAGTGACATGAGCCAGGGCTAATCATATTTCACGCTTGTCACGCGGTTAAGTGGTATTATTGGCTGTCATTATTCGCATTGAATGAGAAAGGAGAGCTTCAGGAAGCTGCCACCTGCTTTTAGGGATTCATATTGTGTTAAAGAGGTTATCAAACTCCCTTCCATTGGCCTTGCTATAAAGCACAAGGGTCTTTGTGCCTGTTTGTCTGAGCTGGTCTGAATATTACACTATGATAAAGCAGCTCCCACCAGTCCAGTTATCTCAGAGATGAATTCTGTGTGGACACAGCTAATGCTCCAAAGTGACACTGGTCAGTTGACTTTTTTTTTTTCAATTTTTAATTGAAACTATTTTAACCTATATTCATGCTTTTCTACTTGGTTATCATGTTTTTAACATCTGGTCTACTGATGAATGTCAAAATTTGGTCGTTTTCAGTAGAAAGTAATTTATTATATTGTTTGCAATACATTACTAAACTCATTTTCATGTTATGAATGATCAAAACATAAATCATAAATAGAATGGCATAATATTATTATTTACATTTTTAGTATTAATATTATTCATATTTATCGTCATATAAACTACCGTTTGGGGTCAATAAGGATGCATGTATAGACATCTATAATGTTACAAAAAATGTCTATTTCAAATAAATGCTGTTCTTATGAAATTGCTATTCATCAAAGAATCCTGAAAAAAAAATTTATCATAGTGTCCGCAATTAAGCAGCACAACTGTTTTCAACATTGATTACAAAAAGAAATTGTTCTTGAGCATGAAATCAGCTAATTAGAATGATTTCTGAAGGATTATGTGACACTAAAGACTGGAGTAATGATGCTGAAAATTCAGCATTGCATCACAGGAATAAATTACATGTGACAATATATTTAAATAGAAAACAGTTATTTTACATTGTAATAATATTTCACAATTTTCAAATACAGATTATATGAGATCTTATGAGACTTTATAATAAATATATATCATATACGTACTTTAAAAATTCTTTAAAATATCTCAATTCACTCGCCGTTGACAAATGTGGCAAAAAGTGAATATTGGAGTCTGTGTGCACATGTCAGGAAGATCGTACCTAAGTGCCGGTGTAACTGCCAACCATTTCAATAAAGATGGAGATATGCCCTGAAGATCTGACTGTTGGTCGGCCTCCGGCGGCTGACGATGATGACGATGACCATGATGACCACGACGATAGCGATAAGATCAATGATGTAGAAGGAGTGGATCCAGAGAGGTTGAAGGCTTTTAACGTGAGTATAAGGACATTCAACTCATGATTATCTGCTTCATAAAAAGAGCTGTAATCCATGTGGTCTGGCATGGCTTTTTATTTGTAAGTCAAATTAGAATTCCTCAATACGTGTTGTATGAGTGGATTTCACTCACACCTCATACTTAAGTGAAGTAATTCATTTCTCTCTCTTTTTCTAGATGTTTGTGCGTCTCTTTGTGGATGAGAACCTGGACCGTATGGTGCCAATCTCTAAACAGCCTAAAGAGAAGATCCAGGCCATTATCGAGTCCTGCAGCCGTCAGTTCCCAGAGTTCCAGGAACGCGCTCGCAAACGCATTCGTACCTACCTCAAATCCTGTCGCCGTATGAAGAAGAACGGCATGGAGGTACACGCTGACACATTGAGCCCATTCTGCTTTTTGTAATGGTTAGATGACTTATATTGCCCCCTTGTGGTCAACACAGTACAGATACTGAGAAATACAGTTTTGTTTAGTGATGAAGGCAAAAATTCTAAATTAATATTGATGAAGTTGCAATTTTAAATTAAATTGACCGCGCTTCAAAATTAAAATGGCTGTAACTTTCATTGTAAAGTGTAAAGCTGAAATTCAGAGAAGGGAATTTAATTTGTCCAAAACAAGTTTTTCTACAAAGCAGAAATAATTACATAACTCATTTAGGCAAATTTTGTTCATGTATTCGTCGATATGCAGATTAATAGTTTTCATATTAGACACATTTCTGTAAATTAAGTTCAAAACTGTCAAAACTATTAACAATGTTTCTATATAAGACAAAATGTCCAACAAGTATTTTTAAACTTTTTTTTAATATATTTTTTCTATTTCTTATATATTTTTTCTATTCTACTTTATTTAACAAGGACAGAGTAAATTGATTAAAAGTCACAGTAAAGACATTTATAATTTTACAAAAGATTTCTGTTTCAATTGCTCTTTCTTTTCAATTTGTTGAAGAATCCTGAAAAAAAATTATCACAGTTTCTACAAACATATCAAGCACCACAACTGCTTTCAACATTGATAACAATAAGAAATGTTTCTTAAACATCAAATCAGCATATTAGAAAGATTTCTGAAGGATCCACAATTTTCAAATACAGATTATATGAGATCTTATGAGACTTTATAATAAATATATATCATATACGTACTTTAAAAATTCTTTAAAATATCTCAATTCACTCGCCGTTGACAAATGTGGCAAAAAGTGAATATTGGAGTCTGTGTGCACATGTCAGGAAGATCGTACCTAAGTGCCGGTGTAACTGCCAACCATTTGCAAGCTGGTCGAAACATACCCGAGAGAAACGCAGCGGCAGCCTCGGCCCAGTATATGCACTTCAAAAGCCTGACTGCTGCAGCCATTTCCTGAGCAGAGGCAAGCAAATAGTGTATTCAGCACATCACGATGCATAAGAGACCTATCCACCGCAGCGCCCGCGCGCACACTCACACATTTTATGGACATTACACTGGGAGCGCTCTCATCTGTCATTCAAACACCTTTCCTGAAAGACCAGTGAAGGAGGGAATGGCAAGAAAAACTGTGAGTGTGTATGTGTGTGTGCGAATGCTTTCGAGCTTTTTAGCAGAGCTGGCAGGCATTAGTCCGGCCTTCCTCTCCCTGCATGAATACTCTTTATACTCCAATAAATATGCGGCTGTCTCTGCCATGCTCACCCCTACACACATTCGATGTCTCTTTTTCTGCCTTTCTCTCACTCTCTGGCTTATTCTTCCATCCCTCTTTCTTTCTGCCCCTCTCCCTTTCCTTAACACCCAGCTTTCTTTTATCTTCCTCACTCTCACATCTTCTCATCCAGTGTCCTCCACTGATAATTTCACCATCCCCCCATCCTCCTCTCCCTTCCTCCATCGATGTTCAGTGCCCCTGACTCTGACCTGCTTCCCGCTGCCCTCGTCCCCTAACTCACTTCGCATCACCCCCTCCCTCTTTTCATCCAATCTCTATCCCTCCTTCTCCAACTGGCCTGTGCCCTCTCCTCTACATCCAATCCATCCTGTCCTCTCTCTTTTTCTTCCCTCTGTCTCTGTTTTTCCTGCTGGCACTGTACGTTGACCCCAATTCTGCCCTCGCTGTTGTTTCCCCCTATAGCTGTGTGTAGGCATTACAACTGTACACGCACGTCTTTTTTTTTTCTTTTGCGGTTTATTATTTTCACAGTTCTTTATATCTAGATTTGCCATATTAGTTTGCTGAGGTATCTGTTTGTATGTGCAAGATTATTTTTTGGTCAGTCATGTTTTTTCTTATTTGTAAATTCAAACTCAGTGAAAATGTATTATAGCTTATATTTATATTAAATGCAGTTAATTGAACTTAACAGTGATTTTTGACCCACTTAGGTAAATTTAAGAACATATTTATGTAATTTCATAATTACTTCTGTTGTCTTTGAAATAAGGTTAAAGTGCCCAAATGTACTGACAAGCATTTATAGTAAAATGCACTTTCATGTCATTTCTATTGAAACTTGCACTGTATGCCATGAATAGAAAAATATTTGTAATTGCACATTTTTATAATGAAGTTGCAATTTAGTACATTTAAAATATATTAACTGTATATTAAAATATATTAATATTATATTGAATAGCACACTACAATTAAAATTATTATGAAGTACTTTACATAAGGATAAATATTTGCCAATATTACAAAATGCACTTGTGTGTTAAGAAACAGTCATGAAAGTTTGCTCTATTTAAGTACACTTAATTAGCCTTTTATATTGTTAATATTATATTACCTGCAAGCCCAGTTTTTAAAAAAATATACTTGATATAATGTTGACTACAAATACACATTCAATTCAGTTAAGCACACTTTTATGTCAATATAATGCATTATATTGAAAAAAAAAAGGAATTGCTCTTTCTTTTCAATTTGTTGAAGAATCCTGAAAAAAAATTATCACAGTTTCTACAAACATATCAAGCACCACAACTGCTTTCAACATTGATAACAATAAGAAATGTTTCTTAAACATCAAATCAGCATATTAGAAAGATTTCTGAAGGATCATGTGACACTGAAGACTGGAGTAATGATGCTGAAAATTCAGCTTTGACATCACAGGAATAAATTACATTTTAAAATATATTCAAATATAACAGTTATCTTAATAATATTTGATAATATGACTGTTTTTGATTCAATAAATGGAGCCTTAGTGAGCACAAGAGACTTCTTTCAAAAACATAAAAAAATTGAATGGTAGTGTATAACATGTTACATATAAAAGGCGATTCTGAGAAATGAAGTGTTCTTTCACAATGACCCATAAAATTAGTCCATAATAGTTAATATATTAAATGTACTGTGTGTGTATTAGCAGACTCGACCCACGCCACCCCACCTGACCTCAGCCCTGGCTGAGAACATTCTAGCAGCCGCCTGTGAGAGTGAATCACGCAAAGCTGCCAAAAGAATGCGCATGGATGTCTACCAGGCACACGTAAGTAGCGTGGTATAAGTGTATGTGAAGCTTGTGGAACTGTCTTGGTGTCTCTGTTTATTTTAAAACCAAGTTAGCCTGATATATTCATCTCTCTCTCAGGATGAGCCGTTATCTCTGGATAAGGCGGTCTCTCGTGAGCCGGTCTCGCTGACGCACTCTGCATACTCCCTTGCTGCCTCAGCCTACTCCCAGGACCAACTATACATTAATGGAGGCCTCAGCTACAGTTATCGTGGTTATGGCGGACTGTGTGCCAGCATGCAACACCCCGCGTCACTGACAACAGCTACCGCCCAGACCAACGGTGAGAGAGAAAGCTGGCAGCATCCTAACTGAAGTTTGCTTACTCACACAATTGCCTTATCTGTGAAAGGATACAGGATACAAGTAAAGTTGCCTTAAAATGTGATTTACAAAGTAAATTACAACATATAAGGGCTAGGATGCATTAAAAAGTGCTTCTCAACCAACCAAGAGGGCCAAGGGGGCTGCAGGATGACTTCAAATGAGTTAAATTCTTATCAATGCTATTAATAATATTCTTTTTGATATATTGAAACATTCTAACATTCTAAAAATTTTGGAAAAAAAAAAAAAAAACATACTAATGCTAAAAAAAACATACAATCAGGATGTAAACTGAAATCATATCGCTTTCTTCCCCTCCATAACTACTGGTTTTATTAAAGAACTTACTGTGTACATACTGAATTTTGGTTAATTAATTGAACCATACTGACATTCCCAGTTTCTATTAATAACATAATACAATTAATAAATTATATACGTGAAGTTCTGTTAATATTATATTATGTAGAGGTTTGTTAAATATTGTGTTGGACAGTGGGGCCTTCGAGTCAAAACCACTGCTTTAAAATAATGTCTAAGTAGACAGTCAAATAGAGGTCTACACAGGTCCAAAAATGCGTACCCGAACCCGAAGAGACCCGTAAATGTGCTACACTGAACCGACCCGGACCCGTCTATTATTTTGAAAGTTGGACCCGGGCCCGTGCAGAACCGAGAAAAAAAAAAGGATGGCAACAAATGAGATATAGGGCCTACATGTCATTTCTGAAAGGAACACTTCTTCTTTTTCTCAAAATTCACAAAATGTATTGCACTTGTATATCTGGGTTGTGTATTTAAGCACAGGGGTGTATGTTTGTCTGTTTGTCCGTGTGTCTGAGTGTGTGTGTGGTGCTTTATTCAGCTCTGCTGTGGTATAGATCTCTTCATGAACTAATTTCCATACATCCAGCTCTTCAAACTGGACAGTACCGAACACCACATACATCAATGTAAAATACTTTCTTCTGTTCCAGTATTACTATAAGTAAACTATTCATTGCTTCATTGCCCTAAGCACTGTTGCTCTGTGGCACTTTCAACATTGTTTTGTTTGTTTGGGGACCAAAACTTATAGCAGCTCAACTATGTTTTGGGGCATAATTGCCTGCTTTTCTGACCAATATTCTGGGAATGTTTAGGAAATTGAAAATTAGTTTGGGAAATTGTCATTATGTTTTAGAGCTAGAAATTACATGCTGCACCTTTAAGAATAATCAAACTGTATGTTGTTGGAAAAGTACGGTGTTGTCTGTTGTAAAACTATTTTTTCACTGTGTGTTGTGTATGTTTTAGATGATTCATCTTCTGAAAGTGGGAGTGGCAATGGGATTCACACACTGACTCCTCCCTCGGTAGGTGTGGCCGGAGTGAGTGACAGTACGGGGACGGGACCCGGATCAGGCTCGTACGCTGAGGTTAACGGCAACGGAAACGGTACCGCAGCACCACTCGACTTCAGCACGACTTCCTCGTCCTCATCCTCAGAGGACCAGCAACCAGTCAACCTCAGCGACAGACTGAGTCAGGCCCTGCCTAGTGCTGCCGCCATGCTGGCGACCTTTAACCCTGAGCACGCAGAGGAGCTGCGCAGAAAATACCCCAAATCCTCAGAGCTACGCCTTGACCGAGATATCAGGGACTATAATAACAAGGTATATATATAATCATTTAGGACCATAAAAATGCTAAATGCTACTTACAATTGTCAGAATACCAAAATTTCAGTAGTCAATGCCAGTAGCAATAAAATTTCACTGGTATCGTTACTTTTTTTTATTTTTTATTTAGTTTAGTATCAAATTGGAAATGAAGTACCTGACTTTATAAGATATTTATTTGCTAATCTTGCTACTGGTAATGCCTGTAGATTTTTCCTTCACCCTCCACCCTGCTTCTGATGACGTCGCTCGTGTTTTTTTGTTTTTTTTTCCCCCACCTTATTTCAAATTACCGACTCACACTTTTCTCATCCTAATTTTACAAGTTGAAAGTTACAAAACAACACACGCACAGCGCTGACTGACTCTGATAACGGCCGGGTGTTCTCTGAGTCCGATTGACTTGGGTATTACACACAATGTTAAACAGACCCAGGACCCGAAGTAATAGATTGCGACCCTGACCCGGACCCGGCTGACCATTAAAAATATAGCCCCGAACCCGTACGGATCCCGGGTCGGGTCCCGGGTGCTCGAGTCTCGGGTCCTCCGTGTAGACCTCTACAGTCAACTAGGTTTTTGACAGATCTACTGGGGCTTGGTAATAATGAAGATTTCACAATTCTGTTTTGTTCAATTTAATGTGGACATATTTCACATACAGGAAACCTTTTAACTTGGTAAATTACAAACAAATGAATTTTAAAATGTAATAACTGGGCCCAAACTATGCAGTGCAATTGCTATATATTTAATGTATATATAATCAATACAACCAAAAACTGCTGAAGTAAGCTTAAATTACATTTCTCATGTATAACTGTTTATTTTTTATGTTTAAAGTTATTATAAAATCTTTTTGAATTCATTAAAGGACTGACTCTTAAGAGTCCTTCGTTCGTGAATCAGGCTGCACTGCATGTTTCTGAGTCACAAAAAAAAAACTGGTTTAAAAGAGTAATTTTTGAAGGATTGGACTACACTGGTCATGTTGTATGTGATTGCGTGCAGCCCACAAGAGTGTGCCATTATTTTCTGTTACACACTTATTTGTAACTGACTTCATTTCTATGGCACTGTTGATTGGAGTAGAGTGAAAGAGCAATCTTGGGTTTTTAAGAATTTTTATCCTCTCTTAAAGGGGTGGTTGATTGCGATTTCACTTTTTTAACGTTAGTTAGTGTGTAATGTTGCTGTTTGAGCATAAACAATATCTGCAAAGTTACGAAGCTGAAAGTTCAATGCAAACGGAGATATCATCTTTTAAAATTCTGGCAGTTTAATGCCTACAAAAACGGCTGGTAGGGACTTCAACGAGGTACTTCCCGGGTTCGCGACATCACAAACCCTGATAAACCCCGCCCTCGGGAAAAGGCAGCAAAGGGGGCGAGGCCATGCTGCGCTACTTTAGAGAAGAGGAAGAGAAAACTAGAGGCACTGGGCTAGCTAACCAATCAGAGCCCATCGCCTATTTCTGAGGGCGGGGCTTCTTAAAAACAGGAAAAGATCAGCCCGTTTCTCAGAGAAGGGACAGAGCGGTGTGGAATAAAGGTAAATTATGTGAAAAATAATGCGTTTTTTTAAAAACTAAGCATCAACACATGTTAGACTGCACCCCATAAACTCAATCAAGCCTAGAAAAAAAACAGTGAACCACCCCTTTAAGAGAAACCGCGTCTGTGTTCTTAGTTGTTTTTATGTCTGTAATTATATTTTTGTCCTCTCCGTTCAGGGCCTACTGATCTCAGTATGAAGTCTCTGGCCTCAAATTCGTCCTCGTCAAGCTCCAGTAGTCTCGGCAGGAATGGAGGAGGAGGCGGGGCTTCAGCTCAGCTCAGCCATACAGAAGTGGCGGCAGTGCGTCAGCTGATCGCAGGATACCGTGAGTCTGCGGCCTTCCTGCTACGATCGGCAGATGAACTGGAGAACCTCATACTACAACAGAACTGAACCGATTCTCAACACTCTCTGTCTAAACACATACCCTCATCCCTCACATGATCCTCATCAGAGGTTTTCCGGTCACTGAGGAAAACCATCTGGCTCTTAAAGATGTTAGAAGAGAGAGAAAACACAGCTTCCTCAAGCTTTTGCTTTCATATCATTTCAACGAGAACGGCCGAGAGATGGAGATGAATCGCTGAAGGACACTTCGGTGCAGAAGCGGACGGTTCGATGCGTCCTCCACATACTGCTCCCGCATTTCATGCCTTCTCCATGGCCTCCCTCTGTTTAACCGCCATTCGTTCCCCGCTGAGAGCCATCGATTTCTGATTTTCTTTGTTTTTAGCTACTTCAAAGGAGGAATTACGGAACGTCAATCCTCCAGACGGCACTAACTAAATGAAGACACTTTTGATTTGGAGGCGTAATGGAAAGAAAGAAGATAAGAAAAGCAAGAAGAAAACTAATAGACCTTTGTATTTGCTGTAAATAAGCACTCGCAGTGTCCTGAAGCACTTTTCCATTCATTCTGACCTCTGAATCATTAATTTATGCATATAGATACGCAGGTGGAAGCTCACCTGGAAATACCTCAGCCTGTCTGTCCTGCTCTCTCTCTCTCCCAGCATTCCCCTCTCTGTGTGTGGGAGAAGAAAATTATCACCTGTCCGTCCTTGACTTCGCAGTCCACTGATTTGGGCATCGAAAGCAGAGAGTGGGAGTGAATTTGTTGAATTTGTAATTGAACTGCGGATTTTCTTTTCCACCTCCTCCAAATGTGTTGTACTGTATATATTCCGATCCATTTCAAGATACTGATGGCAAAAAGGATGGCCAAGATACACTGGACTTGTTTTGGGAATGGACCTTTCCTGATGCATTTAAACACTTCGGTCTCACAGATGCCAACTCTTTGTTTCCTCTCTACGGGTCACCCTCTATTCTCCTCTTCTCTATGTGTCCTTCCATTTCTCCTGTACGTCCTCTCTCCTCCTCCACCTTATTATTCTGCTTTGGAGGGAGATGGAGAGGAAGGATCCGGAATGGAAGCTTGTTAGTCTTGTATCTGTTGACTTTTCTTAATGGCCATTAATCCACTCTGCTGCTATGGACTCCAACGTAACGCCACAGACCTGAAACCTCAAGCCTCCCAAACACAACCAGAGCACCTCAAGGCAAAAAAAAACAAGGCAAAAAAAGTCCAAAACAGAAGCCAAATCCAAAAGAAATATAAAAAAAACCTGCCGTTTTGCATTCTGGTCGAGAGTGTTTGATTTCATACTGAGGGCTGCTTGTGTTTGCTTTTGTTTGATTTGTTCTAAAAGTACGGTGTGTGCTTAAATCTCGAGATCAACTGGGATCAAATCGTCTTTGGCACGAGCTTGGCGCATACACAAAAACACGTATGACACGAACAGACACGCTAAAGGGTCTTTAGTGAACTGAATATTTAACAGGAGAGGTTTAAAAATGTGTAGTTAGTGAGGTAGATTTGTTTAGGGACTGACTGACTGACAGTAATGTCACTGTAATTTGCTCCATTTGCACACAGAGGCAGCGCTAATCTGTGATTGAGGAGCTCGGCGCCGGCTCCGTGTTGTACTGCTAGTGGGGGATGGAGAAAGAATATCGCAATGCAGAAGATAATCAAACGCATTTCTGGCCCTAAAGGAGACAGACTAATACAGAGAGGCTACCATGACATGACCCCTGCTGAGGAGCCTTCAGAATCATTCATAATCACATGACCGGGACCTACTTATGATCGAAAGCCATGATGATGTGTGAGTGTGACCAGAGACTACACTGCCCTCTTAAGACAAGTTTGTGTGCAATTTTGACACCCCTGACATGTAGAAGTAATGATTTCTTGATGTGTTATATTTATGGTAGGCCTTCACAGTCCAGCCTCCTACTTGGATATTGAGTTGTTGATTAGAATTGCTATAGACGTGAAGACATATGCAAAATTGACAGCGTGAGGCCTCTCCTCACTGTGTTTAACATCGCTCTGATCACAAAAGAGTCCTTGACCTCTCTCATCTGTAACTGTCTTCACTGTTTCTTTTATTTCAGGAGAGAACTTACAGTAATAAGGAAATAAGGGGAGTAAACAAAAACTTTTATTTTGGATGCGATTAATCGCGATGAATCGTTTGACAGCACTAATAAATATTTAATAATATTGAAACTTTTTTAAATTGTTTAAATATTTTTACATATTTAAAAATGTTACATTTCCTAAGTTTAACACCAAAATAAATAAAATAAGAAACCTTAATGAACTTTAGGTTCATTACAAACTCAAGTCATTTAAAATGGAAATTATGTACAGTTTACAGTAAAAATACTGTAATACATATTTATTACAGTATGTATAATTTATTTTTTTATATTTTTTAATTCAATTGACAAATTAGAAGTACAAACCACTGAGATGTTTAAGTTCTGTATTTTTTTCTTTTTATTTGCATTATGCTAATTAAAATTGGGGATAAATATGCTTAAGTCATATAACAAAAAATAACTAGAACAAATTACAAAAAAAAAAAAAAATTGTCCAAAAATAGTTTTCACAAAATACAATTTCAGATTTTTGTCTTTTGATTTTTGCAGTGAAATTTGACCTAGACATGTTTCTGACAAATTTGACCTACACATTCATTGGGTCCTCTCTCCTTATTTTCTATGCTGTTGCCATTTCTGTTCATCTCTCTCTGTCTCACCTGCTTTTCTTTTCCACATTGTCCGCAGTAGACACAGATGTTGAGAGGTCAGGTAAAAGAGAATTCTAGCTGCTGTCTCGGTCATCTGTCTTTCTCTCGTTGAGGTCTGATATGGGTCCCACTGCCGTCTGATTATACGCCAACCTCACATGCTACTGAGCTCTTCTATGGGTTTCTAAAACCGTACAATGGAGATGGAACTGCAAACCGCATCTGTGTGGAAAGAAGCCGAAAAAAGCGAAGCGTTCATCTGTTCATAAGGTGTTTCTTCTCTCCAGTTCACTCAAGGACAGCTACCGAAAAACAAACTGTAAAACAAGGCAAACGACAATCTTGAAAAAGGTGTAACTAGTTCACAGTTTTGTTCCCATGCTCTGTGTTCCGTGTGCGGTCATACAGCGCAGTGTGTCCCGGGAGAGTGAGGGCTATTCTAGCCATAATCAGAGCATCTCTCACTCTCGGTTCTCACGCTAGCCGCTGAAGACGCCTTGTGGCCCACTGTCGAAAACCTTTTTATCTGATTCCTATTTTTATTATAATTATCTCGATTACAATTCTTTTCTAATTCTTTTTGTATGGCAAGTGGTCTTTTCAGAACCGTTTTGTACCGACATCACATGTGAAGTTTGTCCTGTATGCCTATAACATTCCAAACAAGGATGTCAACATGCCAAGCAGCCAGCCAAACCACGGTCACATCGGATTGCAGATACACACACCGAGGGCAAAATCAATCCCACGCCGCACGGGCTTTAAAGTGTTAGTTATGTCGAGAGCCTGATGCCTGATTTCCCTTGCGCCACAAACCCTCAAAGAACTGTTATCTCTGTACTGTATGACTGAGATGTTTGGGAAACTATGTTTTCTGATTAGTTATGCGCCGTGCCTTTAAAGGGGCTTAACCGAACTGATTGTCATATATATAGGTATGTCCCTTTATTTTATTAGAAACCCCTTCAGCTCTCCATATCTGCTGTCATATGGTACCTCAGAGCCCCTTCAAGGTGTCTTTTTTTTGTTCAATCAGCACCGCAATCTACTGTGATATTAACTAAACAGGCCACCTGTCATAAAGACATCACACACAAACACACGGACGGTCCTATACGGGTTCAGGCTTTGCATTCAGGTGTGACGCTGGTTATGGTTGCTGCTTAACTACACAACTTAAGAAAAATGCTCTGGTTTGATCAGATGTATAGCTCTGGAAAAAAAAAACAACAGCTTGACTTTTATTTTTCTACCACAGTGGTGTACAGCTGCATTCAAGTTCATGTGGTTCCTTGTTTTAGTCTGTTCTCTTTTCTAATTTGTTGGTGCTTTGGATCTTTACCATCCCGTCTCGGTTTCCTCCTGGTGTCGGCTCTGGTTTTGATATGTACCTAATACCAATGTGAAACTGTCTCTTTCCTTCTCATTTTGGACTCAGTGGAAGTGTGATGTTTACATGTACAGATTTTTGAGATTCTCTTTCTTTTTTGTTGTTGTTCTCTTTTTTTGTTGGTTTTTAATTTAAATGATTTCCCTTCTTCTGTTCGGGCACTGCTTAATTTGATCTGATTCCTTTATAGTGAAGGGAAATGGGACTTGCAGCAATTTTCCATGCATTTACAGTAAGACAAGACAGTGTTTTCGTCTGGGAGACCCCCATCACTGACCCCAATCACTTTCTTTAACTGCTGTCAACAGATATACAAAATGAAGAAGGCTTGTTGTAAATGAATCTTTTCCTCTGACCATTAGGGACAACATGGCCGTCTGTTCCTTAATGATTAAAAGCCATTATCACACCCTTCGTCGGGTGCAGACATCAAGTATTAGAGTACAAGAACAGCAGAGTGAAAACCTCAGGTAAATGATTGCCGTTTTATATTTGAAAAAGAAGTCCTATCAGCAACCCATTTCCCACTTTATTACCATAATATATACAAAATCTTTTTTTTTATATTTATTGTGTTATATATATATATATAACAGTGAATACTTTTTCAGTACATGTGGCTAAATATTTTAATTCTTTAGAAAAGTGTCGATACATACATATGTGAAGAAACTGAAAGATTGAATGAAAATGAAACAAAATCCATTTTTGTTGTTTAATGCATACAGCATGGGCGGCTCCTAACATATCACTATCATGAATGAAAACCAATGATTTGAGATTAAGCTTTCTCACTGACATGACATTGTGACTTTTTTTTCTCCCAAGCTGTACGTCACAAAGCTAAATATACTAATAAAACAGTGTGCTATATATCAAACCCGGCAGCTGTATTTCTTTTCTTCTCCCTAAGGAAAAATTATTTTGAATCAGCATCAAAGTATTTGTGTTTTTGATTGGGTCCGGTTTTGATAGCTAACTAAAACTGCTTACATTGGTCCTCATGATAAAAATGGCTTCATAAAAGAACTTAAATCAGTCTCGTTGATCCCCCATGCATGGTCCATGACAATATTCAAATACTAAGCCATTTCCTCTTGTGCGTAGTTGTCAGTTTATTTAGGCATCTTGATTTTTATTATTATGGCCCACTTGGAAGGCTTTTAATGCTTGTGTGGTTTAGAAATGCAGGGATAGGGTTAAGCACTGGCCTAGTTCGGAGGGGTTGAGTAAATTATATTGCATATTATAAAAGGTATTATTTACTGTTACTGGTCTGATATGAGGGTTGATTCATTTATATTGTATACTGTAAAAGATAATTATTTACTTCACAATGTAATACAGTATATGTGATGTACATGATTTCAATCTTTGACATGGCCTCACTCGGTCAATATTAAAGACATCAAGGTTACATTTTCACAGAATGTTCTTTACCTTATGCAGGATGATTTTTTTGTAGAAAACAGTAAATCACAAAAAAAAAAACTTTAGCTGGGTTTTCACAGCCAGGGTCACATAGCAACTATATCCCACAGTTTTAAGCCAATATACATTAGAGCCATATAGGAGTCGCATCAAGGTGGCGATTTTACAGTGTGTTTACTTTACAAAGACCTTTTAATGACGCTCAGATAAGATTCGACCTAAATATATTTACACACAAATCACGGACGCGGGAAACAATGTATCACGTGGACAGGACACGCGCTCAAACGTTGGCTATTGGTTCCTGTGCATAAAGACAGTCTACCTGCTTTCCTGTCATACTAAAGTTTTTAGAACAGCTCTATTCTAGAATCTCCTTCCTTTCATTTTATGTGACGCCAAAATATATTTAGTGAGTGATTTATATACATCTCCAGTAGCCTAACCTCGTTAGCCTATACTTTCTAAATGACAGAAACCTAGAAGTCATTCAGAAAATATAGCCCAGAATACGCAAAATAAACAGAAAATCATTAAAGAGCTAAACTGCCCAAAATAATATTAATTAAACAGCAACACAAACGCCAGTGTGACGTCACCGCTCATGGGCGGGCCCCCAATATTTGCTGTGCACCACTGGTAGTAACTATAATTAGCACAACAATTTAAAACAATAAGGCTACATGTAAACTGGAAGTGCCCG